TGTGTGTGTGTGTGTGTGTGTGTGTGTGTGTGGGGCAGTCCAAATATTCGGACACAGTGTTTTTGATGAAAATATCCCTAATTGAGTCAACACCAAAGTGGTGCTTTGTTTAAGCTTGACCATCTCAGTTTCAGCAACTCAGCATTCACACATTTTTACACTCAGCACAAATCCTCCAAATTCTGAAGAGCAAAGCAAGACACAATACAGTTTGTTCAATTATCAGTATATATTTGGCATAGTTGGTTATATTTGATAAGGCAATTCTATTACAAATCACTGAGTTTGAGTCAGATGTCCATCAGCTCAATTTGTCTTAAGTTGTATCAGAAATCATAATTATGGAAGTAAAATGAACCAATTTAAACAGATCTGTTAACCAAAACAAATCTATAATAATTACAAAACAGAGGGAAAAAAACACCACATYCCCGGGATTTTAAAGCTTTTATAAGATATGAACTTACATACAGGTTTAACTTTATACAAAAGCTTTAACTAATATTTTTCCCATTTTGAAAACTGAATGTGAAAGTGCTGTGCTGACTAAAAAAGTTYCATAAGTGAGGCTTCAGAAGATGCTGCTGCCAACAGATTACCTGATTTCCTAACTTGTAACCGTAACATCCCTATGTCAAAATTCATCTTGTATCGTCAATATCAGATGACATTAAAAGACGCTTCCTTCCCTCAAGTCTCCCAAACGTGCAGCTTGTGCTGCAGTGTGTGCTTTAAAGACCACCTTMAACTGCTCTTGTGATGCCAGATTAAATAAAGCGTGCGCAGAAATAACTGCGTTGCAGCTATTCTGAAGGCAATGCTTTAAAAGATCTTGTTTTGGTTTATTTTCCAAAAGGCATTTGTAACTCATTTCAGGCAACAGGAAGGRAATTTTGTGCAAGTGAGAGGCAAACCAGGTGCTTTTTTAAAGCTAAATATTTAGATATAAATGGAAAGTAATAGCACTTCAACGAGATTGGTCTTCCCTTTACAGGCCACACAATTATTCAGTCATTAAAAGGCCAAACGTGGTATAATAAATAGCTGTTAGTGCGCAGGGGTATTAGTAATAATAATGCGACTTATTCAAGAGCTAACTGGGCAGTGTGCTAACTTGTCCTCTGCTTGATACATTAGATCCCTGATTTCCCACCAGTTCTCAGGTCCGCACTTGGAATTTTCCTGCTTTGGTCAAATATTTGACCCCTTTAAAGGGTTTGTACTTCTCTCCATACATGTCAAGACGGCTCACTTTAAGACCTGCACCAAGGAGAGAAAAGTTGTGTTAGAAGTGAGAAGACGCACAAAAAAAATCACTACAAAACTGTTAAACTATTGTACTATAAAACTATTTCCCCTATTTGTCCAGATGCTACTTCCCTTCTTTGCTTTATTTAATGTGTCCTGCCTCTACCTCCACCTCTCACTCAGCACAAACACTCCTGTCTGCTCAGTTCGACTGTCTAACCTGAGCCACTTGTCGCCTTTGAGATGTTAAAGAACAAGTGTGGTTTCGGTCAGAGCAGGTCTTTGAGGATTACCTGAGATGGCCAGCTGCTGTATCTTCAGATCTATGTTGATTGAAGGGTTCTCTTCTGGTTTTGGGACTCCTGTCTGCATACTCAGACTGCCTCGCAGGTTCGGGAGCTTCTGGGGGTTGAGTCTCCCTATGTCCCAAATCAGTATCTACACAGATGAACTCATTGTGAGAACAATTCAATCAAACACTGTCTGCACTGAAGAACCACTGAAGTTCAAACTTATTATACTGTATGTGACCCATCCCTTCAAAACGAGGATCAAGTACAAAAGTGGAATGTGGAAAAATAGGCAGATAWAGGGTTTTGATTTAAACGTGTTCAAAAATTGCATTTTGTCAAAACATAATGAATAAATGCCTTATCAATTAATCATTTGAATTAACTATCTGAAATGTAATCCTAAAAAACTTTTTGGAAGCATTTTTTTGAGCAGTAGCAACAAAAAAACTGATTTTGAGGAAAAATGCTTTAAAATTTTGAAATTTTCCCTGTGAGCTAGCAATGCTTTTGTTTCTTTKCAACTGGGAAATCTTAGTATATAAGTAATATTTGAGGTTTACTCTTTATATTAACATCAAAATTACTCAAATTTACATAAAATTAGGATTCACACCAAACAGTAATGTATTATCGTAACAAACAAGACAAATTAAGTCATACCTCTGGATAAGCTTATGAAAGAATGATCCAGGTATCAAAATGTGGCTTTTAAAGCAACAAATCTGAAAACATAATTAGGTCATTTTGACCAAATTTGACTTAATCCTCATTTCGATATGATGGGTCACATATATACAAGAAAAGAAAATGCTACTTGGCTACCCATTATGGCAGGTGATTAGAACTGAAGCAGTTGCAGTGACGCTTTAAAATTGACCAAAAAAAAAAAAAAAAAAAACCTGAGCAGTATAACTGACATGGATCTAAACCCCACTTTTAAGTTATCTATTTTAACACAACATGTTGCTGTTTACCTTGGTGGTTATGTCATACGTGTAGCTTCCTTGAGAGGCTGTGAGACTGACACTAAGCACAGATTTAGGCATGTGGATCGTGGCCATCAAGGCTTCCACCATCTTCCCCATGGTCTGCTTCGGTCCAATCGTGATTTCAAGACGACCACAAGAGCCCGTCTCTAAGAAGCTGATGTTCTGCTTCACGTACACCGGAATGGCTACAAGACTGAAATAGGAGCCAAACACAGAGACGATCTCAGTCAAAGACAAGCAGGTGAGAACAGTGACTGCTTTTAGGAACAATAAAATTAAGCTGAAACCCTATTTGTCTCAGTTGAAATCAAAGCAAATGAAGGAAGAASATTTTATGCTCCATAAGAGTAAACGGTACACCAAAAACATATTAAAAAAGATTAAACAATAAATCAAAGAGTTGATGTCTGTGCTTACTTTTGAGAGCTGACGTGATACGACATGAGTCGGAAGTTCCCATCCGGCGGGATGAAAGACAAGACGCGCTCTGCTTCCCAGCGCTTAAACCGCACACACGGGTGGAAACTCATGTCGTCCAGGAGACGAGGATTCTTTCATCAAATCAACAACAACAAATTGTTCCGTGCAGACAAAAGGGACAAGCAGAGTACGAACAAAGGTTCAGAAAAGCACAGAGTTGAGAGAAAACTAACCAACCATAAAAGACAGAGTYAGATCAGGCATCCCAGAGAGCCTGACGCAGGCTTCAATCACACCCTGGATCTCAGCAAACACTGTTGTACCTAAAAAAGAAAGAAAGAAAGAAAAAAGACATAGTTACATCATCTTACAGAAAATCCCTGATGGGATAACAAAGCACAATTTTTACCAGATTTGTCCACAATTGCATCAATTTCCTCTATCACATCAAAATAAGCCTCATTATTTGTGTATTTTACTCCAGCCCGCCTCCATGGAATGATAGATAACTGTCCTGTTGGTAGAGTATCACCAACATTACTTCCTCCTGGAAAACACACAAGGCACAAACAACAAAGTCGTCAACAACAAGGATTTGGTTTATTTGTTTTAGAAGTGAACAGCCCAGCACTCCACACATCTTCAGCAGAACTCGGTTTACCCGTCAGCGTATTGACGACCGACCGCAGGATGGTGGGGGGCCTAATCATTTCCTTGAGGACATTGGACTCTGTTGCCAGCGGAAACCCGTTGTCCAGCATCTCCTCCAACAGCTCATAAACAATTACCACATTGTCCTTGATCACACTTTCTGAACATTCTCCAAAGTACTCCTGCGGACACAAAATGATTCACTGAAGTCAAAGTAAAGAATTACAACATTAAGACATTTTGCATTTAAAAATCAAGCCCTAACTAATAATAATAATAATAATAATAATAATAATAATAATAATAATAATAATAATAATAATAATAATAATAATAATAATAATAATAATAATAATAATAATAATAAATTGAACCTGGAATGTGTCTGCCACTCTGTGCAGGAACTCAATGACAAAGAGTGGAGGGACTTCAGTCTGGACAACTGACAGGAAGAAGAGTTTGCCCCTGTAAATAGAGATGAGATAGTGGTGCGGGGTCTGTAGGACAGGGGGCACATTTTCTGGATCCTCTGCCTTTTCCTTGGCCTCGAAAAAGTAATCGCACACACTCCTGCTGATGACACTCTTCCAGTGTTTCTCCAGGAAGATGTCTCCAGAGTGGTTAATGAGGAAGAGGCTGTGGATCATCTCAGCTGCAACAATAAAACTATTGTCAGTACATTGATATTGAAGAAACAGACAACATATCAGCAGTATTTTCTGTGTATTTCACTTTGTCCCACTCAAAACGACAAAAACGTAAAAGCAAATCAGCAGCAAAAATGTKTGTAATGTCCCTGACAATAACACTAAATTTAACCTGGAATAATTTCACCGTTTGGGTACCAGTCTGYCAATAAGCACTTCGCACGTGTGTGCAAAATTAAAGTTACACAAATTAAATAGTTGCGACTTTCACAATCATTCAAATGCTTTAAAAGTGATAAGTAAAAACTTTGACAAGTTTTACCTGCTGACTCCAGTTGAAAGATTTCTGGTATGTAAAATGACTAAATAGTTGCCGCGAWGACGCCTGCAGACCGTTTGCCCACGTCAATACAACAAAATCACAACTAAACGTTGTATAAGCGTAAAAGTAAAAACTTTAAACTTTGATTTTAACGCAGAAACATAATGTGAGATATTTAAAGTTAGTGTCAGCGTGACCGACTATTTCAAAATAAAATTTCTGTCTGTTTAATCAGGCAATATTTCCGGGCAGCTATACTTCCGTGACGTGTGTCTCAATATGGGTTTTGTTGCCCCAAGTAAAGACTAGCAGGTGTTCCATAACCCTGTTTTGCACGTTACCACCACCACTCAAATATTTAGCACAACAGTGGCGCAGAAAGTAATTTATTCACGTAGAATACATGTTTAGTTTATTTATGCTTCTAAAAATGTTATGCATCTGACTAAATGTATCTAGGTTTTAGAGACTTTAATTAGCTGTCACATTTTTTTTTGTTTTTAAATATGTGTATTCTTTAAGCTTTGATTTAAAATTATGCACAGTATAGAATAAACCGACTCTAGCAGGCTGAAAAAACACATTATTAGTCAAAATCCTTCATTAAAACAGCATAATGAGAACACCGAACAGTTTCTAAAACGTTAGAATAACTCTATTCATTCACTTTTTCAATCCATTATATTTTTAATTATATTTACAAATTATGTTCCCGTTTAACATAATTTTAGTTCGTGAAATGGCGTTACAGATTTCCTGTTTTCAGGAACCTAAGTACTGGTGAAGGAACAGTTTGTAACTTGCAACCTGCAAGTCTGTACTCAGGGCAAAAGCGTTTCTTTTTATATACATATATTGACCGCAGTTCCAGGAGCCGGAGGTAATATTAGRAAGCAACGTGCTCAGACCGGTACAGCCATGGCTTCTGATGAACCTAAAGCAAAGAAACTTAAACTTTCAGAAGAGGAGAAGACAGAGTCTCCGACCAAAGAGACTCCTTCTGTCAAACTAAGGTGACTAAAAGCGACAGAGATAACTCTGCCTCGTGATTTGGAGGGAAGGGAACACGACCCTCCACTAGCCTAGGAGAGTACAGATGTGCGGATATTACACGTGATAAGATACGACTTTCCCGAGCTCGTTAATGTGTGCTTGTACCAGCGCGGTGGCTACAAAACCGGTGCAAAGTCTGTTGTTATTGTTTAACAAAGCATAGAGTCACGTTTAACCAGTGAGAGCTAGTGTGTCTGATCTGATTTAAGTGTTCATGTTTKAAATCTGCGTTACGAGAAGCTTTTTGGACCGGTTTTTGTCCGTCCAGTTGTTGCTCCATCCTGCAGCAGCCTTCAGAACAGTAAAGCAGTCACATGTTCTGCATTCTTCACTGTTTTCGTGCCTTTTTTTCCCTCCCCACCGCCTCCCGCACACTCTCCCCCGCGGTCTGTGTGGAAGTCAGATCGCTTCGAAGCTTCTAACCGGGTAAATGAAGCGTGGCCGGAGCGGGCGGAACAAGCCAATCATCACGCCGGGCAGCCCTGCTGTGGCCCTTCCCTCCTCCAGATGCCTCCAATCGGTCGGTCTCCAGTAGGAGGAGCCGCGGCTGCAGAGAAAAATCGATCTGAGCTGATATTTTTTTTTTCTTTTGGGATATTTTGCCCCTTTTCAGAGCTGGTTTTAGGCTGCTCAACAGGTCGGTGTCAGTGTCTCGCACACACAGCAGGGTGAGGATGTCTGCTGCCAGGTAAGAGAGCGCACTGACATTCAGCCTTGGATAGGTGATGCTTAAAGGCAGGCATGGGTTTTAAGGTTTGTGGAACTGGCTGCACAAACCCCATTAATCATCTGCCTGCACACTGACAGATGTATATGCTGGAGGAGATAATAGTAAAAGGGCGTGGTATCTGCTCAAAGTATGCATTTTGTATTTAATTTTCATTGACTGTCAGCACTCTTCCTGCTGTCTCTCTGGTTATTAATGCCTGTTCGGGAGGTAATGAGAAGGGCATAAATATGGCAGCACATGTTCATATGGAGGCTGAGTTGTGTTCAAAGACTCGCTTCATCTGGGGCTTTCCCATGAGCTCTGGTAAAAAAATGTGGTGGCGCTAATTAGGTTTGAGCATCCAAGCTCTTAATAATTCARATCTAGACCCTCAAATGTGCATTTCACTGACGTTTAATGCAGTGTTTGTTGCCTGTTTTTTTTTAAGCAGGTTGCACAGCTCACTCTCAGGCTGTAATGGGTTCCTCATGTGSCCTGCAGGTTCCAGTGGAAATGTTACGACCCAAAACAGTCTTATGTCATTTAGGCTGCAGGGTCCGTGCGTCCGAATCACAAGATTTTGATCGTTCTCAGAAGTGCTCAGAATGCAGAAGCTCGCACAAGACGCTGTTGTGTCCCAACGCTGCGAGTGTCAACATAATTGCACGCCTGAGTMTCCAGATCCTCACCACGACCCACATTCATCTTCGCTTTTAAGCTTTTCTTGATGAGTCAGGAATGTTCCTTCGGCGTCGCGGTCTGCTTCTCATGAACCGTTTCTCCATTTTAAGGCTTAAAGTTTTAAGTAATAGAAGTCACGTGAAAACTGAAACTGCAGGGATTTTAAGAGTAATAAACACTTTGACAGGGAGTGTTTATACACATAAAGTCCTTTTGTTCCTTTTGTAATGTAGTGTTTCTAAGGATTGATGACTCATTGTTGTCGGTTTGGAGACACGCTCTGTTTATAGTTAACATTTTTGTTTTTGTTCCAGCCCTAATTCGCTCTTTGGAATGGGAAATCCCTTATTGGACATCTCAGCTGTAGTGGATAAAGACTTCTTGGACAAGTAAGTTCAACCTAAAACAAAATAAAATCGCCTCTTCCTGATCGAGTCGTAATAATAATCCTGCWTCCTTATAATTAAAGGCATCTAAGCTGCTTTACATATGTATACTGRATATATACAGACTTCATTATTGATCGTACCTCAGTCTAAATGCTAAGTAGGTGAAATAAAAGATAAATCCAGAATCAGCAAAACCAGATGTGAACATTTTATCAGTGAGTTCCCACCGGTGGCGGGGGAGATTATAAAAGGAAGAARGTTTTTGACACTCGTGTGATCAATTCAGAAAGAAGAWACTGAGGACACAATAAATCAGACTGTGCTAATAATTTACATCAGATGTTCAGCTGATGTAATGCYTTCATGTTTCTTAAAGATAAACTGTTCTACCTGAGGCTAAATAACAGGTCCCATTTCCTGTTTTCCTCTCTAAGGATTCGTCTCATCATCAAGAGTTGTTTTTCTTAATATACGGAATCCCAGTAAAACTAATTATCCTGAGTAAACAATACATTTAATTCACTTGTATATTATTTATCCTGATTTTTTCCTAACATATAATAGTGTCAGTCAGGGTCGCTGTGCCCTGATCTGTCGGTGAGCGCTGGATTTAACCGGACAAAGAGCTCTGTTGATTTCCAGTTCAGCGTCCTCTCAAGTGGCRCTTGCACAAACCCCTGGATTAAATCTGAACCGGCCGACCAAAACTCTAACTTTGGCCTTATTAAAGCCGGACTAAAGCTGCCCTTTAATCCCCTGCATACCTTTTGTCTTTCTTTCAAGGAAATTATTTTTTGAGAGCCTTTAAGGAAAACATTTATACCTGCATAAACAAAACATAAATGTTTAATATTTTGTGTGAACTCAGTGGATTTGCTGAAGCTAACGCCACTCATTTCTCTCTAACGATTTGCAGGTTCTCTCTGAAGCCCAACGATCAGATCCTGGCTGAGGACAAGCACAAAGCACTGTGAGTAATGTAAACGTAAAAATGTGGCAGAGCTGGCCAACATGCAGTCCTCTGGCAGGGTTTGTGCAGCGAGAAAAGCGCGTTTGAATTCACCCCCCGAGTTTAAAGCCTCTCTGTTCTGGAGAAGGCCAGTCGAGACAGGCGCGTACAAGACGCTGCTGCCGCTGACCTCTGTTCCTGCGCTGACAGCCAATGGTAGCGCAGCAGACTGGGCCCAGTCATCCAATGACAGAGCGGGACTTTTCACCTCCCCAGATCCGCTGAGACAAGAGCCAGAAAGCAAACATTTAACAGCAGGAGATAAGAAAGTTCGATGTGACTGTGCTTGTACGTAACCATTCTGCAGTTACACTTCCATACAAATATCCTCTMTTATTAGATTTATAACAATAATAGAGCTGGTTAAGGATGAGCACATTCACATTTATTAAGTCTAATAATAAATAAGCCAACTTTAAACCAACATCTAAGGCAGTTACTACTTTATTTTTGTGTAGGGTAATGTTTGCAGTCAAGATTGCAAAGTTTTTAAAGTGAATTCACTTGTTTAGCCTGTCAGACCAGTTTATTGTAATTCTAGACAAACACTCTTTTTCTTTTCCCTTTTTTTCTCCTCGTTTCCTTTCATCGCTCCCCTTTTCTTCCCTCTCGCTTTTCCTGTCCAGACCTTTAGCAGCAGTGGGCTCGTGTTATTTTCTCCAAATAATCTGATCAAACACAAAGTCTGCACCCCGCAGATAAAACACACAAATTAGTCTGTAGCTCGATGCATAAACCATWTTTTAACGGCATAACGTGGCAAATTAGAGCAACTTTCACCCATGGGAGGGAATAAACGTGACTGCGTTGAGTTACGTAAAGGGCTTCAGATTGTATAATCTCTGGTCAGGTGAGCTTGTGTTGTATGTTTTATCTGTTTTAAAAAAAATGAAGCTGCTTTCCGCATCGAGTGTCCTCTGAAACCAGATAACGCCACCAGCCTTCAAGCTATAATCTATTAGCAAACAGAAGCAGCTGTGCTTTCTCACTGAGCTCACAACAGTGCTCATTAAAGTTTAAATGMTGCTGTTTTTAATACTTAATTATAATGTTTCTATAATTAGATTTCTGTCAAATAAAAGTAAAAAAAATAACACATTTTTAACGCACATTTAGGCATTAATTTTCTGTCACTTTGTGTACGAGAGAATAAAATATGCATGTGTCATTTGCATATTTTACCATAAATATCTAGAGCACTATCAATTTATAATGAAATAATTGTACTTTAGTGTTTTAAATTAGCAGGGTTTAAAGCATTTATGTGTAATATTTTAAATCTTTAAGCTTTATCTGTGATGTTTGTAAAACATGTGAATCAGATCGTGCCAAAGTTGCTTTAACTTGTTGAAAAAAAAAACATCTCTTTTGACATTTAATGAGTAATGCTTTGTGTAATATCACCAGTTTTTAGTAGGAAAAATGACATATTTGTCTCTGTGTGCAGGTTTGACGAACTTGTAAAGAAGTTCAAAGTTGAGTATCACGCTGGAGGAGCCACGCAGAACTCTGTAAAGATTGCTCAGGTCAGTCACACACACGTGAACTCGTTAACCTTTGTGCAGATGTTAAACTGAGTCTGAGGTTTGTGTTGATCTGAGCTGTTGTTTGTTATTATTAATTTTTTTTATAGTGGATGATCCAAGAACCTCACAACGTGGGAACGTTCTTCGGCTGCATCGGCAAAGATAAGTTTGGAGAGATCCTGAAGCAGAAGGCCCAAGAGGCCCACGTCGACGCCCATTACTACGAACAAGATGAAGAACCCACAGGAACGTGTGCTGCATGCATCACTGGAGACAACAGGTGCCTGAACAAAACAAGAGCCGTACATTCTGTGGAGTAATATTTTTAAAAATGGATCATTTACCCATAACATGTTACTCATTTCAGGTCTTTGGTAGCGAATCTAGCTGCTGCTAACTGTTATAAGAAGGAGAAGCATTTAGACCTGGAGGAAAATTGGAAGTTGGTGGAAAAAGCTAAAGTTTACTATATTGCTGTGAGTAGCTTTCATTGTTTTTTTAAAATATTTTTTTATTATTATTTATTCATTTCATAAAAAAAACAGCTAATTTTATATGCAATTAAAAAATACAAATAACTAATAAAATGAAAGGAAGGAGAAAGAAGAAAAAAAATCCTATATATCTGTGCCTTTTCTCCATCAAATAAATTCAAACAATAATAATCTTTACGAAACAAAATACAAAAGTAAACATCAAATCTTTGCAAAATGTTTTATTTATTTATTTATTTAGTTTGTATGTAATGCCACGTATTTACATTTATACTCAACTGTAACATAAACCATCCCTAAAGGTTTATTTTCATAGCTCCACAGTATTTAGCTGCTTTTTGCGAGGCCTGTCACGATCAGCAATAAGTAAGTTAATCGCGCAATAATTAAAATGTGGCTGATAAATTAATATGAGGTCAATTTTCATTTGCCTTCTTGTTTGTTTTCTTTGTGTTTGGGGTAAAACTATACTAGTGCACAACGATACCCGAACAATATTATCGCGTATCTCTATAATTTCTGAGACAATTTATCGTCCAGCAAAATGTGTTATTGTGACAGACCTACTTGTCCCAACAATTTTTTTTAAATGTGTGGCTTAGCAGCATGCCCAATATGTATTTTAATCATCATTACATTTCTGGAAAGGCCATATGAAGTGAAAGGAGTCAGTATTTGTGGGTATCTTTGTGTCTTTTTTCCTCACTAATAGTTTGAATGGAAGGAAACAGTGCTGCAATAAACTCGACTTCTCTTTAAAAGGTTGTGATTTTGCTTTTGATTTGGTTGCATCCGTGCTTTTAAGGGGTAAAATTCAGTTTGAAGCCTTTTATTTTCTGTCTGGTCCATTTTCTGTAAATGATTCATAAGATGCTGCTGATGTAAAAAGATTATCTGTCTGTTCCTTGCAGGGTTTCTTCCTGACCGTCTCTTTGGAGTCCATCTTGAAAGTGGCAAAGCACGCTTCTGAAAATAACAAATTATTTTGCATGAACCTCTCCGCTCCATTTATCTGCCAGTTCTTCAAGGACAACCAGATGAAGGTTATGCCCTACATCGATGTCCTCTTCGGCAATGAGACAGTAAGCCACACCTGGTCACATGTGCACGTTCAGCACTGTGTTAGCCACTCCACTGATGGTTTCTGATTATTTCTCTTTGTTCAGGAAGCTACTGCTTTTGCTAAAGAGCAGGACTTTGAGGTGAGTGTACTAACATGAATAGAGCTGCAGTTTTTGTTTAGTGTATCTGTCATCTGGTTGTGTTAAAGTGTATTTTTGCTCTAGACAAAGGACATTAAAGAAATTGCGAAAAAAGCCCAAGCTTTACCCAAAGTCAACAAAAAGAGACAAAGGATCGTCGTTTTTACCCAAGGAAAGGATGAAACCATCATGGCTTTCAGTAAGATTTTCTTATTATACTGTATTTCTTAATGTGTTTTTTGAGATTTACATTGATTTTATTTTTGTTTTGTTTTGTTTCCCCAGGTGACAAGATTGAGGTTTTCCCAGTTTTGAAGATTGATCCAAAGGACATCGTTGACACAAACGGTGCGGGGGACGCCTTTGTCGGAGGTAAGATTTTCCCTCTTCATACGTTTCTCATTTGCTTTACTAGCTGCGTTTCCATTGCAAATGTGCGTAAAAGTTTGTCGATATTCTGTTAATGTCGAAAAAACACAG